TTGGGTGACGACTTCTCACCAGGACCTTCTGGTCCACTGGGGAGTGGCCCTGGCCAGGACCTTCAGTTGTCTCCAAACTTGGATGCTGTGCACCGAGATATTGGAGTTGGAGGAGAGGCAAGGGAGAGAGTAGTGGAGAGGTCCCCAAGCAATCCCCTTTTGGATCACCAAAATGTTGCGGGTAGTGACTAGCTAGGGCTGATGTCACTGGCAGCAAATGTGTTTCAAAGACAGTCATCGGAAAGAAGGCAGATTTATTAGAGAAGATATGAAAATATGTTGCAAGGTTGTAATGGGCAGCACAGCAGAGAAAGCGCTGTCTGCAAAGAGGCAGGGGCTGAAGGGAAGTTTTATAGGGTGGTGCTGGAGGGGGCTACCCGTGAAAGAGGTCACTGTGCCCATAGAAGTCATTATGCCCTCAGGTTGTTTGATTAGCTATGTCTCAGAACAGTCAAGTTCATTGTTCTTCCATACTTGGGCCCTCCCCGAACTGGGGCCCCTCCTCATTGTTACTTACTTATCAGGACTACACACATACTGTTCTCCATAGTGGCTGTGCTACTTTGCATTCCTACCAACAGTGTGTAAGAGTCCCCTTTTCTCTGCATCCTCACCAGCATTTGTGTGTGTGTGTGTTTGTCTTTTTGATAATAACCTTAACTGGAGTGAGATGATAACTCATTGTGGGTTTCATTTGCATTTCCATGATTACTGATATTGAGAATTTTTTTTCATATGTTGGCCATTTGTATGTCTTCTTTTGAGAAATGTCTGTTCAGACCATTTGCCCATTTTTAACCCCCCTACACTATTAGTAATAGAAAAGAAGATCCTGATAGTCATAACCCCCTAGAAAGACAGAAGGTATTTGCCAGAATTTATATTGTGAAAGAACCATGAGCTCAGGTCAAAATATTTGGCCAACAGATGAGGTAACTTACTATGGAGAATTATCTCAAAACATCTGCTGAGGAGATAAATTAGTATCTGGAAAGAGAAGGAAGCAGGGTAGAAGCTGAGAATTTCAATGGTGTCTCTTATCAAGGTGCTTAAGGTGCTTCTGAATATTTTTGCTGGATTTTTTAAAAAATGGAGATTCATTTTATTTATCTATATATGAAATTGGAATTTTGTTATTCAGCTAAATGTGTATAAAAAAATTCAGAATTTGTGTGTGTTGGTGAATATATAGAGAGGAATTTGCAAATATCTGTCAACTAACTAGGAAATTCAAACTCAGATAGTGTTCTTGGTAAATGTCCAAGGTGTTATGAACTCATTTGACAAGTAGTTACTGAGCATGTCCCTGTATCTCACACCACGCTGGCACTGGAAGGGTGGTGGCTCATGGGCATGGCTCTTGGCTTCTGGGAGTGGAGGTAGAGAGCAGGTCTTAATTAAATGAGCACTCAAATAAATAGACATAGTGGCCCATACCCTAAAGGAAAGGTAGAGGTACTATTAAGACATGTGAGGCCGGGCGCGGTGGCTCAAGCCTGTAATCCCAGCACTTTGGGAGGCCGAGACGGGCGGATCACGAGGCCAGGAGATCGAGAGACGATCCCGGCTAACACGGTGAAACCCCGTCTCTACTAAAAAATACAAAAAAACTAGCCGGGCGAGGTGGCGGGCGCCTGTAGTCCCAGCTACTCGGGAGGCTGAGGCAGGAGAACGGCGTAAACCCGGGAGGCGGAGCTTGCAGTGAGCTGAGATCCGGCCACTGCACTCCAGCCTGGGTGACAGAGCAAGACTCCGTCTCAAAAAAAAAAAAAAAAAAAAAAGACATGTGGCTGCTGGGCGTGGTAGCTTACGCCTGTAGTCCCAGCACATTGGTAGGCTGAGGTGAGCAGATCACCTGAGGTGGGGAGTTTGAGACCAGCATGGCCAGCATGGTGAAACCCTGTCTCTACTAAAAATACAAAGTTAGCCGGGCATGGTGGCACATGCCTGTAATCCCAGCTACCCAGGAGGCTGAGGCAGAAGAATCACTTGAACCTGGGAGGCGGAGGTTGCCGTGAGCCGAGATTGCGCCATTGCACTCCAGCCTAGGCAAAAAACTGAAACTCCATCTCAAAATAAAAAAAAAAGACATGTGGCTTAGGGACCTGTCCTGGGATGAATGGTTGAGGAGAGGTTTCCTGAGGAGATGACATTTAACTTGAGATGTGAGCGATGAGCAGGTGTTAACTGGGTGAAGGCCTGAGCAAGGCGGATTGGAAGACCATTCAGTCAGGAGGAACAGATTAATCTTCTTTTGACAAATAAAGTTCAGAAAAGCTTTGCTCTAAAATATTGGTTACTTTCTCAAATGTGGAGTAACAGCATAGTGTAGCAAAGACACAGGCTCGGATCCGGGATGCCTGGGCTTGAATCCTTGCTCTGCCACTCGCTCTGTGTTCTCAGGCAAGTCACGTTGCCATTCTCTGCCTCATTTCCTCATCTGTAAAACCTCATGGGGTTGTTGTGAGGATTAAATCAGTTAATGTGCAAAGCACCCAGGGCCTGGCATTAACCTTCTCTGCTTTATTACATCTCAACTACTGATTACTAGTGTGCTGCTCTATTAAGAAAAAGGTCTGATCTTTTAATATTGAAAACAAGGCCCAGTGATTTTCCCAAAGATCAAAGAGTTAGTTAAAGGAAGTTCTGAGCCCAGAAGAACGTTTAAAAAAAACTCTTAGTAATTTTTCTGCTAAAATCATTGCTTCTCTCTTCACCGAGTTCTAATGGTGCATTTGAGTACATAGGACTGATAATGAGTGTCTTCTATTAATGATACTTATGTTTCTTAGAATTTGTTTGAAGATGGTTTGGGTGGGGCTCTGAGTTACTCAGATTTAGTGCCGAGATTCAGAATCTTTTTAGAGTCGCTGGCTTCCTCTTAGAATAGAGTGGAGCGGGGGGCTGCTGCAAGATGCCTTTAAGTTGATTTCAACTTAATGGTCACGTTGTCAGCTATGAGCATTTATCCAGTATATGCCAGGCATTTTACCGGCGCTGTAACACGGCACCAGGACACACGTATAAACAAGGCACGTATGGTGCTACCTTTTAGAGTCTGCAGACTTGAGTTGGTGGCAGACACATAAATTAGTCATTACTCCTCCTTGCAGTTGGTGAGCTGCTGGGGGAATGTCCCACTGCTAAGTGCTGTTTTCTGGGCAAAAGAGGGAGCACAACCAACTCCCTGGGGAAGGCAACAGATGTCCCAGATGTGATGAACTAACGTTAGGACATACTGTAAAGGAAGCCCCTTACGACCCTCATCCATGTATGTATGGGGCAAGGTGGGTGGCATGGAGCAGGAATGGGGTCTTGGTTATGTTGAGAGAGGTCTGTGTTTTCATTAGAGGTTCTTTTGTTTAGGGGAATCTATGTGACTCCTGGTATATCTGGCTCAGTGTGATTATTATCCACATTGTTACAACAAGGTTCAAAAATGGAAACTTAAGTTTCCAGTTCATTCTGATTCATCATTTGCCATTCTTAGGAAGGTAGAAGCTCAGAACCTGAAATCTCCCCTAAAGCTACAAACTCTGTTTCTGACTCTTATCTATATAAAGAATCTTCCATGGTAATGCTTCCCATTTTCCAAGCACTGTTATCTACATTATCCTATTAGATCCTTTCCTTTTCAATCCCTTTTAATGGCAAGGAAACAGGTTCAGCAAGACCAGCTGACCTCTCTGTGTAAGTGGGACCTAAGGTAGGAACTTCCTTGAATAGCTTAACTCTGATTTTCCAGGTAGAGGATTTTGTTGATTGGAAAATACGATTAAGGAAGGTCTTAAGTAATCTATTTTTATTAATTAAAATGGCTATCGTATGTGCCAGATGTCCCAGCAGAGCTGGGCGGGGTACCTTGCTGTTATTGCAAAAAACACATCGTTCCTCTTAGCAGATCCTGAGGTGGAATCTCGCCAGTGGCCGGTTGGCCGGGGGTAAAGACCGCGGCTGAGACCAGGTGCAGTAGTAGGTGGGAACCCAAGACTGGTTGCGCTGTAACTCCTGAGAGTCAGGGTTCTTCTGTTTAGCTAAGAAAATTTGGGGGTAGTTTGTAGAACGGTGAATCCTTTTCCAGGGACTGGTGAATGCAATGAAATGAATACTACAGAGATAACATGCATATCAAACACACACTTTTGTCCAGTGCACAGCCCAATTCTCATTCTAGCCATACTGCCCTGCCTTTAAAAAGTTTAAAAAAAAAAAGAAGATAAAAAGTTCACCGTGGGCCAGGCGCAGTGGCCCATGCCTATAATCCCAACACTTTGGGAGGCTGAGGTGGAGGATCACTGAAGCCCAGGAGTTTGAGACCAGCTTGGGCAACACAGAGAGACCTCTCTACTACTAACAAACAAACAAACAAAAAATTAGCAAGCGTGGTGTAACATGCCTGTAGTCCCAGCTACTCAGGAGGCTGAGATAAGAAGGTTGCTTGAGCCCTGGAGATCACGTCACTGCACTCCAGCCTGGGCAACAGAGTGAGACTCTCTTCCTGCCCCCCACCTCTTCCTCCCAAAAAAGCAGTAATTCTAATTTAGGTGGAGAGATGGGGGAAAATTTCAGACTGGATATCCTGTAATTTTTTGTTTGTGTGAAATACACAGGTAGTGGAAGGTCTAGGGTTGTCATCTCAAGGGCATCCTGCAATCATTTGCTTTTTTTCCTCTATAAAAGCAACTTTCATCTAATCTTCCCTTACGGCCAATCTAAAGCAGCCCCCAAGTGACTCTTCAAACACTACTCTGTTTTGTTGCATCATATCACTTACTGACATCTGGTATTTTCTTACTCATTCATTCATTTGCTTCTTTTTTCCCCAGCTCCCACTACACGCAAACTGCAAATGAGCTGGGACCTCGTCTTGTTTTTCTTGTTCAATGCTGCATACCAGTGTCTCAAACAGAGGCTGCTCCATATAGTCCTTCACTATTGGTTTTTTAAGTTAATGAACTTCTCTTGACATGATTTTCTGATTTTTGTTCTTTTATCTTAAGGTTTAAAAGTTGAGAGCAGCATGTTTTGCCTACTGAAACTCATCCTGCTGCCAGTGTTACTGGGTAAGTAGAAGCTAAGGGACAGTGTGGGGTATTTGATTTCTCCTAAGTTCTGTGCATTATTAAAAGCCAATTTGATATGTTTTTGATTCCCCTGGGTTTCTTGAAGATGGAAATCCTAATATGGAACTTCACAGTTTTGTTGAAGCAGCTGTTTTTGAAGCCAGCTAGCTTATGGTTTCTTGGGAGGCTGAATCTTCCTGTTTCCATTAGAAACAGAATGGCTTTGGGTCCTAAAGGGTGTTCTGGGACCCTCTTACGTGACTAAAAGAAAGTTTCTCTGTGGCATCCCTGCACTTTAAATTGTTATCTTTAAAACCACAGTTCGCCTTGAATCAGGAACTGAAATTACCAAAGAGAGGCCCAGAGCTGTTTTCATGCTACAGCCACGCCGGCCTTCTTGTGGTTCCTCAAATTCACTGAGCTCTTTCCCAATTTGTGGTGGTTTCCTTTGCCTGGAACCTTCCTCCCAACACTTCACTCTAGCAAGCCCGCCCATGGCTTCCTTACCCTTCAGGTTTCCCCTTATGCTCCACTTACTTCTGAGGAGCCTGACCTGGCCATCTCCTCGGACCAGATTAGTCTCCTCTTTACACCTCCACCTAAGTACTGGGCTTCTTGTTGCTCATCTCCACTGGTTTCTAGGTTTTCATCCTTTCCCCCATGCTTTTTTCTTTATCCTGTGGGTGTAGTTCTGGAAGGAGAAGAAATTCATCAGGTGCTTTGCTCTCATAGCCTTTTCTTTTTCTCTTTATTATCAGTTTTTGAACTTTGGACAGTGATTTAAACCCTGACTCAGCAAAGTATATAACAGGGTTGCCTTTGCTCCTATTCTAGGCAATACAGAGTGTGTACAAACATGCACATATGCACGCACACCAAAATGGTGTTCATTAGAGAATTTTTCTTTTTTCTTTTTTTTTTTTTTTTTGAGACGGAGTCTCACTCTGTCGCCCAGGCTGGAGTGCAGTGGCCGGATCTCAGCTCACTGCAAGCTCCGCCTCAGGGGTTTACGCCATTCTCCTGCTTCAGCCTCCGGAGTAGCTGGGACTACAGGCGCCCGCCACCTCGCCCGGCTAGTTTTTTGTATTTTTTAGTAGAGACGGGGTTTCACCGTGTTAGCCAGGATGGTCTCGATCTCCTGACCTAGTGATCCGCCTGTCTCGGCCTCCCAAAGTGCTGGGATTATAGGCTTGAGCCACCGCGCCCGGCCCATTAGAGAATTTTTCTCAAAGAAGCAGGGTTATAATGATCTCAGAAGGTATTTAGACATTTTCCCAGAGATCTGTGGAGCAGCCTGCAGGTTTTTGCCCTCCAATCCAGAAAGCTACTAGTCCAACCCCTGTATGTGGTGACTTGGTGACACTGGGGGTTTTGTAGTTTTTGTGGAGAGGTTTTCTTTTCTTGCAGAAAATCTCATCTTCTTCAGCTGTTTCTCTACTAAGATTGCCCTTCAAACATCAGTTTCTCTTTGCTTTGGTTGCTGTTGTTGCTTCCTAGCAGTTCTTCATTTAATTCTACGCACAGTGTTCTTAGTATTAAATTCGCTTATTACACTTTCGACCACACGTGGAATTGCTCAATTCTTCCTTACAGGAAAATTCCAAATATTTGTTGGAGCCAATTTTGATTTCTTTCAAAATAATTCCCTCTGAAGGGTTTAGAGTTGCTGTTTTCTTTTGTGTCCTCCCTGCTGTGTGAGCCTGCTGTTGGGCAGGAAGTTAACTCTCTTCTCTCAGGGAAAGAGCTTGCATGAAAAGACTGGCACATATTCTGTTCATTCCCATCACTTGGCTTTTCTCTGATATGAACTGGGCAGCATCTAAATGTATCTTTCTTGATTTTGTTGTCTCTTTGCATAGAGCATATCTTGTGAAAACAGAAATATCCATGTAATGTTTTTTTCTTGTAGTGACCTCTTGAAATTGCTTGAGCAACATAGAGATAATGGACAGGGGTCCCTGTGTGAAGCACCTAGAGGCTGGAAAGCTGATGACAAAGCTGGAGGGGTGAGGCAGGGAGAGGACAAACACAGTGGAAATGCAGGAGGAAAGCTATGCTCCATGGTGGCCTAATTATAAGGACCTGCCCTACAGCCAGAATCAGCCAGCAAATGCAGAAATAAGCTTTTGTAAAGGAACTAAAAGACGAAGAGGAAGTAGACAAAAGGTCCTTTTTTCAGAGAGGGAACCAGTGGGAGACTTAAGAGCAAGGAACATCCCATTTCCTGGTAAGTGGAGGTGGGTGTCTAAATTGATGATCAGAAATGAGAGACTTCCAGGGTTTCCCTTATTTCTTTAGAAAGGTTGGGAGGAAGAATTCCAGAAAAGCGTAAGGGACTAGATAGGAGGAGGGAGCCAGACAGCATTTATTGTAGTATGAAGATTGCAGAACCCTTCTGATGAGCCATATAGGTAACTAGAGGACAGGGATGCCATGCTGCCTTTGAACACGCCTCTGAGGACTTTGTCTATGTTGGATCATCCAGGGAGAGGGGTGTTTAGTACTCCATGATTGAAATTGATTTTTGTTGTTGAGAGTATTTGTCTAAATGATGTGTCCTCTTGCCTTTGACTTCTATAGATTATTCCTTGGGCCTGAATGACTTGAATGTTTCCCCCGCTGAGCTAACAGTCCATGTGGGTGATTCAGCTCTGATGGGATGTGTTTTCCAGAGCACAGAAGACAAATGCATATTCAAGATAGACTGGATTCTCTCATCAGGAGAGCAGGCCAAGGTAACACGGGGGAAACATCATTATGTAATAGACGCCCCTGACTGCTGGTGTCAGGACAGAGTGGTGTAAGAGTCAGGCATCAGGTGTCACCAGGAGGTGTTACAAGAGCCGGGGCTTTGGAGATGATCACAACTGGGCCTTGTACTAGCTCAGGAACTTGGTTATGTTATCAGCTGGGTAAGTAAGTTACTCAACCTTGCTGATCTTAGCTTCCTGAGCTGTGAAGAGGAAGGCAATTACAATAATGGTAATGCTTACCTTTCAAGTAGTTAAGGGGCTAATGGGAGACACACACATGAAATGAGAGGTTCCTTGTTCTTGCACATGAAATTCTTTTAGTTTCCTTCCTTTATCTCTACCCTTTGTTAAGTAGCAGAAGCGGGTGAGAGGGGTAAATTCCAAGGTTCTAGAAAGGAGAGCTCTGACCTAGGCATAGGAACTATACCACAGTAATCTTTTTTGGGGTGGGGAGGAGGACAGATTCTTTCAGTGTTTTTCACTGTTCCATTTATGTGCTGGGGAATCATCCTTTTCTCCTTTGTGGCTGCTTAAAGTGTTGGGATTAGCAGATGCAGCATGGCTGGGCAAGGGTCTTTCATGGAGCTCTTTGGAGTGAGGAACAGTGTATTAAGCCTCATCAGAGAGTCTGTATAGATACTCGTATATCAGGATCATTTGTGAAAAACATCCCACGTAGTTTGTTACTAACAAGAAACTCCCAATGTTTGCAAATAAAATATTGTTTTTGTAGCTCAACAGAGCACACTCCCTGTTGTCCCTATAACACTACTCTCACTCAAATTTTTATTGGCCTTTATTTTTATAAGAGGGATAGGTCCATGGTGTAAGTAGAGTAAGAATTTCTGCCGGGTGTGGTAACTCACGCCTGTAATCCCAGCACTTTGGGAGGCTAAGGCGGGGGGATCACTTGAGCTCAAGAGTTCGAGACCAGCCTGGGCAACATGGCAAAAAAACAATCTCTACAAAAAAAACAAACACAAAAATTAGCTGGCTGCAGTGGCATGTACCTGTAGTCCCAGCTACTTGGGAGACTGAGGTGGGAGGATCACCTGAGCCTAGGAGGTGAAGCTGCAGTGAGCTGTGGATTGTGCACTGCAGTCCAGCCTGGGTGACGGAGGAAAACAATACAAAACCAAAACCAAAAACAAAAGAATTCCCCAGGGCCCAGCCTAGAACCATTGCCTGTGGATGACTCCTTTTGTGTTATGATACTGCTGCCGGGAGGAGGGTAGAGATGAGAGAAGTGGCAGCCAGCCGGCCATGCCTGGAATTCTCACGCCAACACCACCCACAGCACTAGTGAAAATAGATCATGCATCTGAATGCCATCTAATCTGGGGCCGTGGTAGAAACTAGGGTGAAAATGAGAGATGGTTTTCAAAAGTTGTAAGTTTAAAACTGTAGAGTGATCTTCAGAGTGGGTGCTATATTTTACCTTAAACTGTAAGAAATAAAATGTGGACCACATTTCTCCATTTGTCCTTGTAGAAAGTGAGCCGCAGAGCTTGTGCAAGTTGGACTGTTGCCTGGCACATTATTTTTATTAACTGGGTACCAAATGCTTTTGGATCATGATCATGATGATAGCTCTGCTGCCCCCACATAACAGAGTATCTGGGATCCAGGCTCCTCGGTCTAGCACCTCTTTTGATTTTCTCCAACACTGTTTTGCCCTTCAGGATGAATATGTGCTATACTATTACTCCAATCTCAGTGTGCCCATAGGGCGCTTCCAGAACCGCGTACAGTTGATGGGGGACATCTTATGCAATGATGGCTCTCTCCTGCTCCAAGATGTGCAAGAGGCTGACCAGGGAACCTATACCTGTGAAATCCGCCTCAAAGGGGAAAGCCAGGTGTTCAAGAAGGCGGTGGTACTGCATGTGCTACCAGAGGAGCCTAAAGGTACGCAAATGCTTACTTAAAGAGGGGCCAAGGGGCAAGAGATTCCATGTGCAAGAGGCAAGGAAACTGATTATCTTGAGCAAATGCCAGCCTTTGGGCTAAGTACTTACCACAGAGTGAATCTTCAAAAAATGATCATAATGATTTCAGTCAATAAAAATATAGTTATTTTATTAAATAAAATATTGATGATTATTGTATTATTACTTCAAACACACTTCCTCCTCCCAAAAGCCCTGTAAAGGATGTTTTGTTCACATATGTGTCCAAATATGTTTTGGACACATATTTATTAAATGGCATAACTAGTACTTGATCCCTGGCACCTCTGACAACAGAGTCCATGTTCTTTTTTACTATGCCCTAATACCTTTCCTCAGTTATCCACATTGATGCTACATCTGTATTTTATAGGTACCCTATGTTAGGTGTTCTGGGGGATAGAAAAGAAATGAGCAGGCCAGGCTCAGTGGCTCATGCCTGTAATCCTAGCATTTTGGGAGGCTGAGGCAGAAGGATTGCTTGAGTCCAGGGGTTCAAGGCTGCGGTGAGCTATGATGGTACCTCTGCATTCTAGCCTGGGTGACAGAGCAAGACTCTATCTAAAAAAAGAAAAAAAAAAAAAAAAAAAAAGCCTGGGTGTGATGGCTCACACCTGTAATCCTAACACTTTGGGAGCCTGAGGTGGGAGGATCACTTGAGGCCAGTTTGAGACTAGCTTAGGCAACATGGCGAGACCCTATGTCTAAAAAAAAAAAAAAAAAAAAAAAAAAAAAGCTGGGCATGATGGCACATGACTGTGGTGGTTTCAGGTACTAGGGAGACTGTAGTGAGAGGATCACTGGAGCCCAGGAGGTGGAGGCTGCAGTGAGCTGTGATTGCACCACTGCACTCCAGCCTGGGTGACAGAGCTGAGACCCTGACTCTTAAAAAAGAAAAAAAAAAAGAAGAAAAGAACAGATCTTTCTAACTCTTTGCACTTTATTTTTCCATTTATAAGTGGAGGGAGTGGTAGATGGGTGGTTTTAAAATTTGTGCTCTGTAAAACCTTAAGTTCCAAAGAACATGAATGGTAAAAGCAGGGCAGGGGGTTGGTAGCAGACATATCTGCTCAGATAGGACCCCAGGCTCCCACCTGCATTGCAACCAAAGTCCTTTTCCTTTTTCCTGTTGTATTCATTGGGCTACCAGGTAAGATTTGGTTTGAATAAGGATTCTGCTGCTTTTAAGCAGTTTGAAAGGGAGAGTATAAGCTATGGTGGCCTGAGTCATTTAGAAAGTTTTTTTTTTTGCTTCTTTGGATATTAGTTGAAAGGAATGCAGCTGAGACTGTAACCAAAGGAGGCATTATGCTTCCAGAAAAATCTTGAAAGTATTGCAAGCAACTGTAGAAGCTGTTGTATTGGGCTCCAAAGGAAAGGGTGGAGAGATTCAACCAGTTAGCCCAAAAGCTGGAGATAAAATTCTTCCCCCAGAATCTAGAATATGGAGGCACCAAAGTAGTTCTGGATGACAGGGATCATTCTTTATTTAGAGATGGTGGATTCTTGGAAAGTATATATATTGAAATAAATCACTATTGAAAAAGTCTCATGTGAAGCCACTCATTCCACTGGAGTTCTGAAATCTTTCATCGTGTAAATAATTTCCATGTCTCTCTTTTATAATAAACTAATGATATTCAAACTAATGTCAGCCAGTGTCTCTAAAATTTAGTTTTGCTTATTGATATAAACACTTACAAATAAAAATACATAAATGAAAGTAAAAGTTTGCAAGCTGCAGAACTAGATGCATTCTTTAAAACTGCGGAATAGAAGGAACAGTCTGTGACCCCAGGAAACTTTGTAATGTAGTTAGGGAACTAGAATCTGGGGCCATTTCCCGCCTGCAGCTAGCTTAGGTCCTTAGCCTCCCAGCTTTATTCATGAGCTCCTCCAGTGCACCCTTCCTTCTTCTCTTATGACACTCATCACACCCATTCACTTGTGTCTTCCCTGCTTGCCTGGGCACAGCCCCTGGTACAGAGTAAGCAATTAATAAGCATTTGTGGAATGAATGAAGTTATTGAGTTAGCATCCCTTGCTTGAATCCAATTTCTAAAAAATGGAGTTGTAGGAGGTGGCCTCTGGCCCCTCTCCTAATTATCCGTATTGTCATTTTTCTCTTAATTCCAAAGCTCTGGTTCTCCCGGAAGAAGAAGCAAATCAGATGCCTGTGCCCAAGGATTCTCTCTTCTTTTTTTTTTTTTTTTTTTTTTTTGAGGTAGGGTCTTGCTCTGTCACCCAGGCTCTGGAGTTGCAGTGGTACAATCACGGCTCACTGTAGCCTTGAACTCCTGGGTTCAAGTGATCCTTCTGCCTCAATCTCCCTAGTAGCTAGGTCCATAGGTATGCATCACCATGCCTGACTTTGTTTGTTTGTTTAAGTAGAGATGGGGTCTCCCTACATTGCCCAGGTTGGTCTCAAACCCCTGGGCTCAAGTGATCCTCCTGCCTCAGCCTCCCCAAATTGCTGGTATTACAAAGGATTCTCTTTTTGCTTCCTTTTTCTGCCTTTGGTCTCTAATGCTGTGCCTGAACACTTGCCCATGCAAGCACAGCCTTTTCCTGCTTAGAAGAGACACAGAGGAAACTGCAAGGAGTCAATTTCAAGAGCTGAGGAATTCATAGAAACAGGCTAGGGCAATGTTAGAGGTAGTCAGATATTTCCCCAGTGGCTAGTGGAGCAAACTGTATTTTTTTTTTTTTTTTTTTTTAATTCCAGCTAGAATGGGAATAGATCCAACCCCTAACAATTTTGCCTAGTGGAAGGTGCTCCAACTTGCTTTACGTAAGTTGCCTCCACCAACGTGGCAACTCCGTCTTTTGCAGTCATCTATAATTTCCTCTACAAAGTTTACCCTTCAGTTGACAGTCTATGATTCTACCGCTTCAATTCTTTTTTCATAGTTCTTAATTTAAATACTATAGATGAAAATAATAATTAGATTAATGTCCTCTACTTTTGCTCTAGAATCAGCCATCCTTCTACTTATGTGGGGTGCCACAGTAGAGTGAATGAGAAAACTCGGGCTTTGCCTTCACTCAGGCCTGAGCTTAAATGTTGGCTTTACCTTTTACTGGCCATGTGGCGCTGGGCTCCTTTACTTTCCTTCTCTGCAAAATGGGAGAGTAGTTATACAAACCTCAAAATATTGTAATGACTAACTGATCTACCATGTACAGGGTGTCTAGCACATGGCTGGTGCATTGAAATGACTCAGAATGTTCAGTTGTTATTATTGCATTTTAAAAATAGAGTTTAATTCTTTTTTTTTTTTTAATTTTTTTTTTTTTTTTTTTTTTTTGAGGCGGAGTCTCGCTCTGTCACCCAGGCTGGAGTGCAGTGGCGCCATCTCGGCTCACTGCAAGCTCCGCCTCCCGGGTTCCCGCCATTCTCCTGCCTCAGCCTCCCGAGTAGCTGAGACTACAGGCGCCGCCACCACGCCCGGCTAATTTTTTTGTATTTTTAGTGGAGACGGGGTTTCATTGTGTTAGCCAGGATGGTCTCGATCTCCTGACCTCGTGATCCGCCCGTCTCGGCCTCCCAAAGTGCTGGGATTACAGGCTTGAGCCACCGCGCCCGGCCTAGAGTTTAATTCTTAATGTGCTGATAGATTTAAAGGGAGTTTGCTTCCTTGCTGGTATTCTTTGGAGTAAATTTTTCATCGCTTTCAAAATAATTCCTTCCATAGACTTTAGAGTTCATAATATTTTCTTTTGCTTTCCTCCTATTGTGCATTTCTCCTGCTGGGCAGGAAGTTACTCTTCTCCCAGGGAAACAATTTGGATAAAAGGGTGGCTTATGCACTCTGTTCCCTCGTGATCTTTGCTTAACACTCTTTTGAAGGAACTCTGTGCACTTAAGACCTAGACCTGTGTCTTCCTTATACACTACCCTGCCTTTCATTGCTTAATCAACTTTGTGGTTGATTTGTATAGAGCATTACTGAAAAATCAGAAATATCTTTCCACTTCTTTTCTTTTTCACAGGCCACTTAAAATGACTTATGTAATAAACATATGGTGGGTCAGCTGCTTGTACAACAGGCAGAAGGAAGAGCCTAGGAGTTGGAAAGCCAGAAGCAGGGGAAGAGGGGAGGGTGGGGGCAGGAGAGAGCAGGATGAAAACAGAAAGAAAAGTCAAGGAGAAAGCTGTCTTTTGTCTTGGCCTAATTAGCAAGGAGTCCTGTGACTTGTACCAAGGCCAGAACTAGGTCCTAGAATAAAAGAAAAAGAATAAAAGAAGTTGAAGAAAGTTACCCATGGTTCATTTTTTTTAGTTGGGAGAGTCAGTGGGTTAAATATAAGAATGAGAGTTCTATAACTTTCCACTTCCTGTTTATGCTAAGCAGATGTTGGTATCTAAGACGATGAACATAAAGTGGGGGCTTTGAGATTTTCCATACTTCCTTTAGTACAAACTTGATGTGAAATTAGAGTTCATGGGAGGAATTCTGGAAAAGGGGAAAGAGAAAGGAATTAAAGAGGACCAGAAAGTGTTTATGGTGGTATGGAGACAGCAGAAACCCTCGGGCTTGGTACATGTGGGCAGCTAGAGGGTATTCTCATCTTGGGGATGCTGCTGTGCTGGTCTGAGGGAGGAGGCTCTGAGTACTTTGGATCCAGGGAGGATCCTCCGGATCACCTACAGAGGGAATATGTATAGTGTTTGGTGGTGACAGTGATTTTTGCTGCTGAGGGTCTTTGGCTAACCATGATCTCTTCTAGAAAGTCTTTGACTTCTATAGATTATAACTTTAGTCTGACTTGATTTACTATTTTATCCTCAGAGCTCATGGTCCGCGTGGGTGAAATGATTCGGATGGGATGTGTTTTCCAGAGCACAGAAGTGAAATACGTGACCAAGGTAGAATGGATATTTTCAGGATGGCGCGCAAAGGTAACAAGGAGGAAACATCACTGTGTTAGAGAAGGCTCTGGCTGATGGTGTCAGGACAGAGGTAGAATCAGGCACATGAGGAGGTGTTGCAAGAGCCTGGGCTTTGGGGCTTATCAGAACTGGATCTTCTAGCAATTTCAGCTTTCTGGTGGGAAAGATAACTCCAATGAAGAAGAAGAAGAACAAGAAGATGATGATGATGCTTAACTTTTAGATGCCAATGTGAAATTGTACATGTAAAGCATTTTTGTACATGACTTGGCCCCTACATTTTAGTTTCCTTCTTTCTCCCTTTTCCTTTGTATAGAGTCCGTGGGAGAATGAGGGAGATGATTTTTGTGGCCCAGCCAGGAAAGCAATGGGCTAGGCATAAAAGTGATTACACTTTTATTCTTACTGGGGTTAGTTCTGTGACTTTTCATCTGTGCTCCATTGCCCCATTTATGTGATGGAGGGAATTTTCATGAGTACTTCACGTGCTGGGATTGATCGATCCTGGGGGCCAGGGTGAGGGGTATTTCTTGGGAGATCTATAAAGTAGTAAACAGCAAGTTCGTTCATTAGACCAGTAGATCTCAACCATGATGTGGTCGTATACTTATGAGTCAACATGTATTGTGGGGATATCCCAAGTAACTTGTTATTAATAAAAGTTGAGGTGCAAAATTTATTAAAGATTAACTTTTATAAATTAAAACATATTCCAGGTCATCTCTCTAACAAAGTCATTTGCACTTGATTCCTCTATGCTATCTGAGTGGGTCACAGTGGGTGACATCATGATGGAGTATGGGGAATTACATCTGGTCCCAGGTTCACCCCTGAGAGCTTGCCATGCATTTAAATGTCATCCATTGAGTGATTCACAGGAGAAAATAGGATGAGAATTGACATTTTGAGGTTGTGAATTTGAATCACAAGAGACAAATGTTAGGGGCCAGGTCACTTCATTCACGTTTGTGTCTACATACCCATTAACTTTTCTTAAAAGCTTTAAAAAAGCAATCTGCATGCCTTTTTTTAAAACGCCAATATTCATTTAACAAGTTATTTTTAAAGCATCTGCTATATGAAGAATACTCAAAACCCCTGACCTGATGGGAAACTTACAACTAAGATGAGGGAGATACGCATAAAATAATAAAGAAGTATATAATACATCAGGCAATAGTAAGAGCCTATGGGGAACAATAAAGCAGGACTTTGTGGTTTTTGTTATGTGGGTGCTTGGGGAGGCCATACTGAGATGACATTTGAGGAGAGGTGTGAAGGAAGTCAGGGAGTGAATCCTGCATGTGTGTAGGGGAAGAATGTTCTTGCAGTCATAGACAGTAGCAAGTGCAAAGACCCTGCAGCCAGTATGCAAGGAGCAGCCAAGAGGTCCATGTGGCTGGAGTGCAGTGACCTAAGTAGGTGAGGGAAGAGCAAGTAGAAGTTGAAGTCAGAGGAAAAGGGAGATGGGCTGGGTCATGCAGGGCCTTGGATTTTGGTATAAATGGGAGTAGGGGCAATGAAGGGTTTTGAGCACAGGAGTAACATGATTTAACTTACATTTTTAAAGCCTCATCTGCTGAAAATAGATTGTCATAGCAAATAAGCAGGGAGACAAGTAAGAAAGCTGTTGCAGGAACCCAGGTGAGAGATGAGCTGGACCAGAATGGTATCAGTGGAGGAGGTGAGGACTGGCTGGATTGGGGATTTATTTTGAAGGTTGAGGTGATAGGATTTGCTGAGGGATTTGATGTGATTTTTTCCAGAAAGAAATTAAGGATGACTTCAAGATTTTTAGCCTGAGTATCTGGAGGAAGGCATTGCCATGTACCCAAATGGGATGGACTGGAAAGAACTGGTTTGGGGGAAAGATGGAGTTCCATTTTAGACATGTTTCAGGTTCCTATTGGAAATCCAACTAGAAATGTCATCAAGAATAAAAGTATACTTTTGCTTTTTTTACTGGAAAGGTACACAAAATGAAAGTCCTCCTTTTCTCATCCCTCTGTTCAGATGGAACAACTGTTCATGGTTTGGTGATGTCCTTCACAAGCACACACACATGCACATGTGTATGTGCGTGTACATGACTTTGTGTTATTTAAAGCTTTCTGATAATACCCTTACTGCCTTCACCTAGCAGGGCCTTGGGAGTCCTGAGATCTTCCCTCCCCCATTTTCTCCGCTCCCCCCTCCACTCCAGTCCTCACAATCTCATACTTTTTGCCTTCCCCTTCTAGGAGGAGATTGTGTTTCGTTACTACCACAAACTCAGGATGTCCGTGGGGTACTCCCAGAGCTGGGGCCACTTCCAGAATCGTGTGAACCTGGTGGGGGACATTTTCCGCAATGACGGTTCCATCGTGCTTCAAGGAGTGAGGGAGTCAGACGGAGGAAACTACACCTGCAGTATCCACCTAGGGAACCTGGTGTTCAAGAAAACCATTGTGCTGCATGTTAGCCCAGAAGAGCCTCGAAGTATCTAACATTTGGCTGGGGGGCATTGAGGGACCTCCTGGCTGGTGCATGGGGCCAGGACTAGAGTGAGGCCGGAGAGGTTCCTAGGATGCAAAATTGAAGGAGGCATCCCTCTCAGGTGCTGACTCTGGCCTTGCACAACCCTGAGAATGATGCCTCCTTAGAGGTGGCTCCTCAGGTACCTGACTTGCCTCACCCTAATTCTGGCCCGGCTGCTAGGCCAGGGACAGGGGAGCTAATTTAGTGAATACCAGTCCTCTGCCAGACCCCACTCATTGCCAGGGTCGTCTATTGATGTAAAGATACAGAAGCTCAGGGAAGGATCTGAGTTGATGTCCAAAGTCAGCATACTTGGTTTCAAGGGAGGTGCTGTACGCGCTAGAGTGGAGCGGGAAGTGATCCTAAGCTAGTGAGAGACAGCCAGGAACAGAGAGGACCATGCAGGCACCAGAACCAAAAATGGAGGCGTTTTCTAATCAGAGGTTCTCGGTTCTGGCAAACAGCGTGCATCAAGGCCAGTGGTGTGTAGGAGAGGAAAGACTCAATTGTGTTGACAGAGAGAGGTTGATAAGTGAGGGGTTGAAGTTAAACCATAACCCAGTTAGCAATCAGGATGTGGCCTGTGGACTTTGCCCCTTGCTAGGGCCTTCAGGAGTTGGTTGTGGTTGATTGGGGGTGGGGAAGATGGGGTGAGGATGGAACATACCTCATACCTCAGGCCAGAGATTTAAGTCTGTGGAGGCACCTTGTCTCCAGCTGGAGAGGGGAGCAGGGCAGATGGGTTTCTTAAAGAACCATCATCTTTCTGTGTGCTTCCTTCTCAGAAGTCCAATTCACAGAGAAAATCGAGCTATTATGGGGGCTCATGCAGCTTCTCTACCCACAAACATATCTATGTCTCCCCATCCTTATCTCTGCCCTGCCATCCTGAGACAGAGGAGGGTCCCTTCTGCTCTGGGCTTATCTGGCCCCCTGTGCCCAGGTGGCATCCTTCTCAGGAGCCTCACAACATGGCTCTTTGAGCTCTCACTTTCTGTTGGCTTCTACCATTCAAATTTGCTCAATTCTACCACTTACCTACTCCAACTCCCTTCTATGTCTTTTTTTCTTCAGCTCCATTCTGTGTCTTTCTTTTTCTTCAGATTGCTTTCCTGAGATACAATTCACATACCATACAATTTGCCCATTTAAAGCGTTCAGCTCAATGGTTTTAGTACATTCAGAGTTGTACAACCACCACCACTATCATGTATTTCTTTCTCAACATAGCCAAATAGCTTGCTAAAGGTCTGTGTTTGGAATACTACCGTCTCATCTCCCATTAACTCTTCAGTGCACTGCATTCTGGCTTATTCTACCTGTACTCCAGCTTAGACCACCAATGCCACTGCAACTATCCATCCTCAGCCTTCTCTCCCTCAGTAGCGTTGGACACTATATTTTATATGCACTCTATGTTGGACCCAATTCCACACACACTCATGGATATGCATAGTAAACTCTACACAAGTTTTCCACAAATCCTTCATACGCGACATGTCTCACCTACCCCTGTACACCCTTCCTCAGCCCATCTCCCCAACCTCAGTTGTCTAACTAGATGCCTGGGGATGTGCTTGATTCCTTCCCTTTCCTTGACCCCAATCTAACAGGTCAGGTCAACAAGTCCTTGACTCCTACTACAGACTCTTGAAGTTGTCTTCCTTCCAGTCTGTCACTGCCACCTTAGTTCTGGCTGTCTTCATCTCTGTCTTGAACTGTAGGCCTCTAACCAGTCTCTGCTTTCTCTCTCAGCCACTGCTCCTCATTCTTCACACGGCTCTTGGTGCCATCTTTCTAAATCACATTAAGAACTTTCTCTTCCACTGCTAATAATCTTTCAATGGTTTTTTCATTGCCTGCAGAAAAATGCCAAATTCTTGGTTGAGATAGTCAAGGTCCTTCCTGACTTGGACCCTATCATCTCTCCAGCCAAATTCTCCAGCACACCCACAGATGCCACTTTTGTGCCAGACCCATTGAACTCTTTCTAGTTTCTAAAATCACCGTCCTGTCAGGCCTTCAGATCTCGCGCAGAACATCCCCTCTGTCCTTCCCCAGATTGTCTGCCCAAGAAACTGGATGTTTCCTATAAGTCTCAGGTTAAACTTTAGAACTTTTGCTGGCAAATTCTCATTTGCTGCACATAGAATTGGGCACCCTTTTTTCTGTGACCCTCTGTTCCCCGTACAGACTTCTGCTGTAGTGCCTACAGCAGCCTGTGGTTTTCTGTTGACGTGTTTGTCTCCTTCTTTGGAAGCAGGGACCATACATCATTTGTCTCTGAATCCCCTGTACCTAGTGCTGTCTGGTCCTGAGGAGGTGCTTGCTTTATGTGTTTAGAAAGAACCATGCAGATGAGTAGAAGGTACCCTATGGGCAGAAGTACCTCCAGAGGCTTTCCTTGGTATCGTCGTTGTGGGGCTGAGTCTTGCGGCATGTGTTCTTTTGAAGACAACCACTTGCCCTGGGGAAGATCAGCAGCCTCTAAGATGCCTGTTATTTCTCGGTCACTTGTTAAGCCAAATTTTAGAACAGAATTGTTGACGTGAAAGGAAACTTTACTACAGGTGAAGTGCTAGCCTCTTCTCCCACCCACCTTAGTCTACATTTTAGGGCAAACAGGGGGGTTAGACTTTGGTTCTCAATCTCATGGAGACAGTGTCCCTAGTGTCCAGATATCGGGTAGAATCTGGCCTTCCCTCCGCTTCCTGGCCTGGCTGGTGCTACTTGGTACAGGGCTGTGGGACTCTCGGCTCTTTGCTAAAGTTATTGAGACCCTCTCCTTGCTTTTCTCCTTTCCCAGCACTGGTGACCCCGGCAGCCCTGAGGCCTCTGGTCCTGGGTGGTAATCAGCTGGTGATCATCGTGGGAACTGTCTGCGCCACAATCCTGCTGCTCCCTGTTCTGATATTGATCGTGAAGAGGACCTGTGGGAATAAGAGGTACAGGGCTGCCCCCGCCCCTTGGGTTGGGAGGCTGGGGGTACAAGGCTGCTTCTATCCAAAGTGGAAGAGGTGATAGGGTCCTACTATGCCATTCTCACAGAAGTGGGCATTTTAAAGTGAGCATTTTAAAGAATCAACTCTGGTAACCCTGCCCACTTTGCTCACTGTGCCTGGAAAATAATTTAATGTTCCTGCACTCTCCTCATTCACTTTGGTATTACGTAAAGACTACAAACTCCCTTAGAAATGGGGGTCTCAGTAGGGCATAATTCAGAGCATAAATCTTACACAAGAACTATCATGGTACCATTCACTGCCTAAGAGATGATTTTAAAATTATCCACACTGTACGTTCCACATAGAAGCTAAGATCTTAAGGGTTGCCAGTGGTTTTATCTAAAAGATAAAAGACTCTGTCTAAAAAAAAAAAAAAAAAAAAAAAAAAAAAAGTGCTTTTCAAGGCCTGGATTTCATTAGTAGTTCTCCCAGGGTCTCAGAAGTCCCCAGATGCTCCAACAGGGACACTAGTGTTTCACTGGCTGTTGGCAGATCCACGCCCCTCAGTTTATCCAACTATCGATGAGGGGCGCAGATTGACTGTCTTGTTGAAATAGTGTCAGTGGGAAAGGGCCTCATGAATAATCCTGACTTTTGAGTGTTCTTTCCCAGTGGGTCTTTGATCGTGCAGAAAACACTTGGACCTGCTAGGTTTTCACTTCCCCTCCCTAGGGCTTCCTGATTTGGGTTTGAACTTGGCTGGCCTCTCTGAAGGTCTTTGCTCTGGGCATGCTCGGAGCACTGAGCTAGACAACCTGGGTTCCACTCTCAGCTTACTTCCCCTGTCTGAGCCTCAGTTTCCCCCCAAAGGAAAGGTAGCACTTCCATGTCTAGTCGTTTATTCTAAAGAAATAATTAGATGGATATGCTGAGATTTGTGCAAAACTGCAGTCATGCTTATAATCAAAAATAGGGATCATTACCAGTGTCTGTCAGAAAGGCAGTGATTCAGTGAACCAGTGTTTCACTCAATGAAACACTCCAGATCCCTCTGTGTGATGACATGGAAAGATATCCAAGGGGTAAAAATGCAGAATTTATGGGATGACCTCATTTTTATAAAAGAGAAAATAATATGATGCTCACTCCAGCAGTATATGTACTAACTACATTTTGTGTGAGCTTATGCTTACACTGAGAGAGGCTGGGAAGGATAGTTGTAAAATGTGGGTAACGGCGTGGAATTTGAGATGAAGGAGAAGGTGGATCCCATGGGGTGAGGGGTTGCAGGGAACTTCCACTTCCAACTGTTTACGTTTCTGTATTATCTGAATTATTTTACAATGAGAAGATACAACTTTAAAAGCAGAAAATACAATGAAAGTATTTCCACTGAGACCAGAACATATGGTTTCTTTTCTAGCTTAAACTTTGATTTTTTTTTTTTTTTTTTAGTTCTGCCTTGGGCCAAAATAGAAAAAAAGAAAGTATATTCAGAAGGCAAATGGTCATGAGATCAAAGGCCAAGGGGCCCCGACCAGGCAGGCGCGGAGCTTCGGGCTTGGGGCTTGGGTGGGGTGTTCGTGGGGATTATTCCGCTCCGCCCCCTGGAGAGACCAGGAGCCCTTTGGTTTGGCGTCTTGCTGAGCTCCTGCTGCCCCCTGCTGGTTCCGCGGCACTCCCTGGTCCTCAGAAACGTAGAGACGATGGTCAAGTGGAATCCTATCTCCCCGCTCTTCATTCACTTAAAATTACCTCTCCCATAAGGACTGAAAGTGTCTTCAGTGATAATAGAGAAGTTGAAGCCGTTTTTCAGTCTAAATTATCTCCAGAACGGCTTCTTGTTCTTCATTAGAAGAGATGTGCTTCTCAGGTTTCCAGGTGAGCCGGGTAGCCCTGGCTGTAGGAGTCCAGAGAGAATAGTGTCTTCTCTGGGGTCTCTCTCTTCACAAAGCCAAGAGGGGGTCTCATGTAGGGACCCTTGAATAAACCATGCCAGCTGGTTAATTCCACCTGCTCTTTATGTCTTGCAGTTTAGTGAATTCTACAGCCTTGGTGAAGAACACGAAGAAGACTAATCCAGGGATAAAAGAAGAACCCTGCTATTTTGAAAGCTGTGAAGGGGAGGTGAACACACGCTTCAGCCTAAAACACTAAGCAGATGCAGGCCTGGGCCGTTCTCATTCCCCGGGAACCATGTCTTACCCATTGTATGTTGCAGCTTGCAGGCCAGTGCTTGGCACAGAGCAGGGACTCAGGAAGCCTTTGTTACTAGAATAAGCGCCTCTGAGGAGTACAGTGCATGGGGCTGGCTCAACCAGCCCCAGGCAGCAGTTTCTGGTATTGGGCTGAGGAAAGAGCACTGCGCTTGGAGTCAGAAAGCTCTGCCACCTCCCCTAGTCTCACCAGCAAAATGAGGATAAGGATAAAGATATTATAGTTACCTGGCCTGCTTGACAGGGTTGTTGTAAGGTTCACATAAGATGATGATATGCAAATGCTTTGTAATTTAGGAGGTGCTGTTTGTCTAAAGTCTAATGGGGAATTATAATATATTCAGGAGTTAAGGAGTTCTAATGCTTAAAATGAAATAGTCTAAGACCTTAGCAAGAAAGGATTAAGAAGGACTTTTCTCTCCTTATTGATTAGTAATGGAGTTATAAATAATTGCTTCTAGAGACTGAGAAATGGATTGGTTTTCTTTAACTCCTATTCTTTCTTTTCTTTCTTTAATTTTAAAAACGCTCTTTGAATAGTTACCTTTCTCTGTTTTGGGCTGTTTTTGTCCCAAGAGTAGGATTTTCTCCCAGTAGAGTGCAGTAGTCCAAGAATGGGCCACCGGATGATACTGCTTTCCCAACGAGTGACAGGACCATGAACCTCACAGCTGTGAGGCTCAATGAGGGCTGAACCTGCCACATAAACCCTCTGAGGGAAATGATGACAGTACCCTGTTGATTAATGCCATTCTGCCTTTACTGTAATTAGAAGGAAATAACCCCACAATACAAGGAATTTAGCAAGATAAGGAACCCCTGCTGCTACCTAAACATCCATCTAAACAAAGATGTTTGGCTTTTGAAGCAAAGAGTTTGGTTCTTAAGACTGTGTTCTTTGACAGTTATTTTTCAAGAAGACTGAAGGCTGAATTATCATTATTGGGAATTCTCTAGCTCTCAGTAACCTTTGAACCTCCCAGTTTGGGTGGTCGATGCCCAGCAAATAGGTATAGGTGGCCTTTTCTCTGGTGTATAAGATTCATCTAATTTTTAGGAATTTTTGTACCATTTTCCCCCTCTAGAAAAACATTTACTCCTCAATAATTATACGGGAGGTGATCGAGGAAGAAGAACCAAGTGAAAAATCAGAGGCCACCTACATGACCATGGTGAGAATGATTCTGGCCCCAGCTGAGCCAGGTGTCAGAGGCTCAGGTGGTGGTGGTGGTGGGTGTGGCTGGGTTGCCCAGGGAGGCTGCTGAGGGCAGTGATTTTTCTAAGTAGCAGGAAAGTCTGAGAAACTGAAGTTCTGCTGGATAGAAGAGTGATATCAAACTTTCCTACCCAAGCTCAAGGATTAAAGGTTATCACCAGAGATTATTTATATTAGTGGTGAAAAGAAGTGAAGAGTGGCCTTTACTGGGGGCAGGGAGAATGTCTTTTGCCTCATCAGTTCAATCTAATAAAGAAAACACGGTCGGGTGTGGTGGTTTATGCCTGAAATCCCAGCACTTTGGGAGGCCGAGGTGGGTGGATTGCTTGAGGCCAGGAGTTCAAGACCAGCCTGGCCAATGTGGCAAAACCCCCTCTCTACTAAAAATGCAAAAATTAGCCAGGTGTGGAGATGCGTGCCTGTAATTCCAGCTACTTGGGAGGCTGAGGCACGAGAATTGCTTGAACATAGGAGGTGGTGGTTATGTGAGCCGAGATCCACCACTACAGTACAGCCTTGGCAACAGAGTGAGATTCTGTCTCAAAAAAAAAAAAAGAAAAGAAAAGAAAAGAAAGGCCGAGTGCGGTGGCTCACACCTGTCATCCTAGCACTTTGGGAGGCTGAGGCAGGTGGATTACTTGAGGTCAGGAGTTCGAGACCAGCCTGGCCAATATGGTGTGAAACCCTGTCTTATTAAAAATACATTGGGAGGCCGAGACAGACGGATCACGAGGTCAGGAGATCAAGACCATCCTGGCTAACACAGTGAAACCCCGTCTCTACTAAAAAATACAAAAAACTAGCCGGGCGAGGTGGCGGGCGCCTGTAGTCCCAGCTACTCGGGAGGCTGAGGCAGGAGAATGGCGTAAACCTGGGAGGCGGAGCTTGCAGTGAGCTGAGATCCGGCCACTGCACTCCGGCCTGGGCGACAGGGCGACACTCCGTCTCAAAAAAAAAAAAAAAAAAAAAAAAAAAAAAAATTAGCCAAGCATGGTGGCAGGCTCCCAGCTACTTGGGAGGCTGAGGCAGGAGAATTGCTTGAACTTGGGAGGTGGAGGTTGCAGTGAGCTAAGATCCCGCCACTGTACTCCAGCCTGGGAGATGGAGCGAGACCAAAGAGAGAGACAGAGAGACAGAGAGAGAGAGAGAGAGAGAGAGAAAGAAAATACGATAAATAGGATAAGATCCTTGGGCAAGTATTGTGTTGCAGTGAGTTGTTTTCCTTGCTATCAAAAGCTCAAAGTAGGGTTCCTTCCACTGCTTAGATTTTGTTTCTTAATTTTGTGACTTATTGTACCTTCTCATAATCTAACTGCCAGGCAGGCTACATGCTGGATCTCATACAATATTTCGGAGTCTGATTCCTACTTTCCCATTGCTTAGACTTTAGGCCCTTAGAGAACTACAGCACCTGGAAAAGGCACTGCAGGGCGTGCAGTGAGTAGGGGTAGGAACAAAAGGAGTGAGCTGGTGATGAGCATGGTGCTATTTGTAGACTAATTATAGGCACCCAGCCCATTAAGGAGCAGTGTTCTGCTGGATTTGGGAAGGCTGGCCTCCTCTGTTTGTGGAATGATGGGCTTTGTTTGTTCCTGTCGCACCAGCCCTGAGGACACATGACTCCCAGCTGATTGCAGCAGAGAGAGGTCTGCCAGGGAAGTGTGAGATCAGAGGCCTGGCCTGGATCCACCGAGTGAAACATTAACTCCACTGAAGTTGCAGCTGAATGGAATCATTTTCCCCCTGTATTTTTCTCCCATTTTGTTATGTGATACTGCAGTAACTTGCGAGGCCTCATCCTGGCTCCTGGAGACCTGCCGATATAGCTGCCTTGTGGCTACTGCTGAGTGCGTCACCAGCCAGGGTGGCACTGTTTGCAGAAAGTCTCCGAGGTGGGGAGGAACAATTGTCTTCACAGCTACCTTCCCCAGGTTTAATGCTAGGCGATTATGGTTTTGATTTTGTGGAAAACACCATTCCTCTCCTCTTGATCCAGGTCCAATAGAGTAAGAGGAGAGGCCTGGGCTGCAAACTCAAAGGCCGGCAGGGGCCGGTCAAGTTATTGTAAAATATGATGTGCCAAGTTAAATAAGCCTGTTGGTGAATTTGGGACTGCAGGCCACTTGTTTGAGACTTCATCTATAAAGGTGTTCTCTGATAGGGAGCAGAGGTAACAAAGAGCCTTTGTATTTTGTTGTTGAATTGATGAAATTCATGTAAATGTAGTGGCACCTTGCTGTTTTCCCTTTCTGAGGCTGTACACACAGTGGTTAAGGTTGCAAGCTGTGGAGTTGGACAGACCTGGGTCCAAATTCTAACTCTGTGTTGCAGCCAGATGGTCTTGGGCAGGTAACTTGGCCTGTCTGAGCCTCAGTTTCCTTATCCTTAGAATGGGAATCATAATACCTACCTCCTGGTGGTAAGGATCACATGAGATGATGCATATGAAATTCAGTATTGGGCTGGGGTCATGAGAAGAGCTCAATGAATGGCAGCTGCTATGATTACGAACTACTTCTTACAAGCATGTTTTGTTTCTTTCTGCCCTTCCCCAACAGCACCCAGTTTGGCCTTCTCTGAGGTCAGATCGGAAAAACTCACTTGAAAAAAAGTCAGGTGGGGGAATGCCAAAAACACAACAAGCCTTTTGAGAAGAATGGAGAGTCCCTTCATCTCAGCAGCAGTGGAGACTCCCCTGTGTGTCCTGGGCCACTCTACCAGTGATTTCGGACTCCCGCCCTCCCAGCTGTCCTCCTGTCTCGTTGTTTGGTCAATGCATGAAGGTGGAGAGTTTGGAGCCTGGCAGAGAGACTAGACAGCTCTGGAGGAACAGGCTCTGGTGAGGGGAGGGGAGCATGGACTTGGCCTCCAGAGTGGGACACTGGTCCTAGGAACCAGGCTGAGCTGAGTGGCCTCAAGGCCCCCACTGGATCAGACCCTCCTGTTGGCAGTGTTCTTAGGGTATGAGTTACTGGGAAGAATCAGAGATAAAAACCAACCTAAATCATTCCTCTGGCACATTATTTCTAAATAAGGGTGGTTTGTGGAAATCGTCCTTTTTTTATGCCTTGGTTGATGGGGAAAGTAAAGTCCTGGTGAGGAATTTACAGTTAGAAACTTCTGGAAAAACTGAAGTTCCTGGAGGAAAGCCAAACCGTGCCAACACACTAGAGGCTGGTTTGGGTCCTGGGAAAGGTTTGGGGTGAATGGGTTGGAAGTGGGGTATGAATACAGCTTTGGGATTTAACTCAGTGGTTCTTCATTCCTGCTGGGCATTGCTGGTGGCTCCTTGTGGGGCCTCACCACAGGCCTCCTAATTTGAAATTTCTCAGTGAAACTTAGGCATTTGTCTCTCTTGATACTCATGGGTTGCCATGGTGGACAGCCACTGATTTAATTCTTGGTCTGAAATGTGCGGTTCCTATACTTTTGGTTGCTATTGTAAGATTCGATAAGGTTAGTCTTAAAAATCCTTTGAGGGAGGCATCCAAGTTGGTAATTAGGAAGTCAAACTGTCTGTTTGCTGATGACATAATCATAAACCTTGAAAACCCTAAACACTCATCCAAAAAGCTCCTAGAACTGGTAAATGAATTCAGCAAAGTTTCAGGATACAAAATTAATGTATACAAATCAGTAGCTTTGCTATATACCAATAGCAACCAAGCTGAGAATCAAATCAAGAACTCAATCTCTTTTATAATAGTTGCAAAAAAATTAAAATACTTAGGAATATACTTAACCAAGGAGGTGAAATACCTCTACAATGAAAACTACAAAACACTGCTGAAAGAAATCATAGACAGCACAAATGGAAACACATCCCATGCTCATGCACAGGTAGAATCAACATTGTGAAAATGGCCATACTGCCTGTATTTAGTTTGTTTTCCTGTTCCTGATAAAGACATATCCGAGACTGGGAAGAAAAAGAGGTTTAATTGGACTTACAGTTCCACATGGCTGGGGAGGTCTCAGAATCATGGCAGGAGGTGAAAGGCACCTCTTCCATGGTGGTGGCAAGAGAAAATGAGGAAGATGCAAAAGTAGAAACCCCTGATAAAACCATCAAATCTCATGAGACTTATTCACTACCATGAGAACAGTATGGGGGAAACCACCTCAATGATTCAAATTATCTTCCACTGGGTCCCTCCCACAATATGTGGGGATTTTGGGAGTACAATTTAAGATGACATTTGGGTGGCGACACAGAACCAAACCATGTAATTCCACCTCTGGCCCCTCGAAATCTCATATCCTTACATTTCAAAACAAATCATGCCTTCCCAATAGTCCCCCAAAGTCTTAACTCATTTCAGCATTAACCCAAAAGTCCACAGTCCAAAGTCTCATCTGAGACAAGGCAAGTCCCTTCCACTTACGAGCCTATAAAATCAAAAGCAAGCTGGTTACTTCCTACATGCAATGGGGGTACAGGTATTGGGTAAATACAGCCATTCCAAATGGGAGAAATTGGCCAAAGCCAAAACAAAGTGGTTACAGGGCCCATGCAAATCTGAATTCCAGTGAGGCAGTCAAAATTTAGAGCTCCAAAAATGATGTCTTTTGACTCCAGGTCTCACATCCAGGTCACACTGATGCAAGAAGTGGGTTCCCATGGTCTTGGGCAGCTCTGCCCCGTGGCTTTGCAGGGTACAGCCTCCTTCCTGGCTGTTTTCATGGGCTGGCATTGAGTGTCTGCAGCTTTTCTAGGCGAACGGTGCAAGCTGTTGGTGGATCTACCATTCTGGAGTCTGGAGGACGGTAGCCCTCTTCTCACAGCTCCACTAGGCAGTGCCCCAGTAGGGACTGTGTGGGGGTTCTGACCCCACGTTTCCCTTCTGCACTGCCCTAGCAAAGGTTCTCCATGAAGGCCCCGCCCCTGTAGCACACTTTTGCCTGGGCATCCAGGCATTTCCACACATCTTCTAAAATCTAGGCAGAGGTTTCCAAACCCCAGTTCTTGACTTCTGTGCACTTGCAGGCTCAACACCACGTGGAAGTTGTCAAAGCTTGGGGCTTGCAACCTCTGAAGTCATGGCCTGAGCTCTATGTTGGCCCCTTTCTGCCATGGCTGGAGTGGCTGGAATGCAGGGCTCCAAGTCCCTAGGCTGCACACAGCATGGGGACACTGGCCCTGGCCCACGAAACCATTTTCTCCTAGGTCTCCTGGCCTGTGATGGGAGGGGCTGCCATGAAGACCTCTGACATGCCCTGGAGACATTTTCCCCATTGTCTTAGGGATTAACATTCAGCTCCTTGTGACTTATGCAAATTTCTGCAGCCAGCTTGAATTTCTTCTCAGAAAATGGGTTTTTCTTTTCTATCACATTATCAGGCTGCAAATTTTCTGAACTTTTATGCTCTGCCTCCCCTGTAAAACTAATGCCTTTAGCAGCACCCAAGTCACGTCTTGAATGCTTTGCTGCTTAGAAATTTCTTCTGCCAGATGCCCTAAATCACCTCTCTTAAGCTCAAAGTTCTACAGATCTCTAGGGCAGGGGCAAAATGCCACCAGTCTGTTTGCTAAAACATAACAAGAGTCACCTTTGCCCCGGTTCCCAACAAGTTCCTCATCTCCATCTGAGACGACCTCAGCCTGGACCTTACTGTCTATATTGTTATCAGGTTTTTGGTCAAAGCCATTCAACAAGTCTCTAGGAAGTTCCAAACTTTCCCACATTTTCCTGTCTTCTTCTGAGCCCTCCAAAGTGTTCCCACCTCTGCCTGTTTCCAAGTTCCAAAGTCGCTTTTTGGGTATCTTTTCAGCAATGCCCCACTCTACTGGTACCAGTTTACTGTATTAGTTTGTTTTCACACTGCTGATAAACGCATACCTGAGACTGGGAAGAAAAATCGAAGCTACAGTTCCGCATGACTGGGGAGGCCTCAGAATCATGATGGGAGGCAAAAGGCACTTCTTACATGGGGACAGCAAGAGGAAATGAGGAAGATGCAAGAGCAGAAACCCCTGATAAAACCGTCAGATCTCATGAGATTTATTCACTACCATGAGAACAGTATGGGGGAAACTGCCCCCACAATTCAAATTATCTTTCACTGGGTCCCTCACGCAACATGTGGGAATTATGGGAGTACAATTCAAGATGAGATTTGGGTGGGGACACAGAGTCAAACAATACCACCGCCAAAAGCAATCTACAAATTCAATGCAACTCCCATCAAGATACCACCACCGTTCTTCACAGAAATAGAAAAAACAATCCCAAAATTCATATGAAATCAAAAAAGAGCTTGTATAGCCAAACCAAGAGTAAGCAAAAAGAGCAAATCTGGAGGCATTACGTTCCCCGACTTCAAACTATACTATAAAGTCAGCCACCAAAACAGCATGGTACTAGTATACAAATAGGCATGTAGACCAATGGAACAGAATAGCAACCCAGAAATAAAGCCAAATACTTACAAGTCAACTGATGTTTGATAAAGCAAACAAAAATATAAAGTGGGGAAAGGACACCCTATTCAACAAATGGTGCTGGGATAAATGGCAAGCCACATGTAGAAGAATGAAGCTGTATCCTCATCTCTCCTCTATACAAAAATCAACTTCGGATAGATCAAAGACTTAAATCTAAGACCTGACACCATAAAAATTCTAGAAGATAATATTGGAAAAACCCTTCTAGGCATTGGGTTAGGCAAAGACTTCATGATCAAGAACCCAAAAGCAAATGCAACAAAAACAAAGATAAATAGATGAGATTTAATTAAACTAAAAAGCTTTTGCACAGCAAAAGATATAATCAGCAGAGTAAACAGACAACCCACAGAGTGGGAGAAAATCTCTGCAATCTATATATCCGACAAAGGACTATTATAATGTCCAGAATCTACAAGGAACTCAAATAAATCAGCAAGAATAAAACAATCCCATAAGTAGGTGGGCTAAGGACATGAATAGACAATTCTCAAAAGAAGATATACAAATGGCCAAGAAACATATGAAAAAATGCTTGGCATCACTAATTATCAGGAAATGCAAATCAAAACCACAATGCAATACCACCTCACTCCTGCAAGAACAGCCATAATAAAAAAAAAATTAAAAAAAAATAGTTGTTGGCATGATGTGGTGAAAAGGGAACATTTTTACACAGTTGGTGGGAATGCAAACTAGTACAATCACGATGGAAAACAGTGTGGAGATTCCTTAAAGAACTAAAAATAGATTTACCATTTGATCAAGCAATCCTACTACTGGGTATTTACCCAGAGGAAAAGAAGTCATTATATGAAAAAGATAGGCTGGGCATGGTGGCTCATGCCTGTAATCTCAGCATTTTGGGAGGCCGAGGCAGGTGGATCACGAGGTCAGGAGTTCAAGACCAGCCTGGCCAACATGGTGAAACCCTGTCTCTACTAAAAATACAAAAATTAGCTGGTGGCCCATGCCTGTAATCCTAGCTACTAGAGAGGCTGAGGCAGGAGAATTGCTTGAACCTGGCAGATGGAGGCTGTGATCTGAGATCGCACCACTGCACTCCAGCCTGGGTACCAGATCAAGACTCTGTCTTGAAAAAAGAAAAAGAAAAAAAAGATACCTGCCCATGCATGTTTATAGCAGCACAATTCGCAATTGCAAAGACATGGAATCAGCACAGTTGGCCATCAATCAATGAGCGGATAAAGTAAATAAATATAGTATATATGTATATATATATATATATATGTACGCCATGGAATACTACTCAGCTATGAAAAGGAATGAAATAATGCCATTTGCAGCAACCTGGATGGAACTGGAGAACATTATTCTAAGTCAAGTAACTCAGGAATGGAAAACCAAACATCGTGTGTTCTCACTTATAAGTGGGAGCTAAGCTATGAGGATGCAAAGGCATAAGAATGATACAATAAACTCTGGGGACTCAGAAAGGGTGGGGAGGTGAGGGATAAAAGACCACACATTGGGTACAGTGTACACTTCTCAGGTGATGGGTGCATTAATATCTCAGAAATCACCACTGAAGAACTTACTCACG